AAATAAAAACTTAGGTTCTGGACAGGTCAGTTAATCTGGTTTGCACAGTTGTCTGTAACTGTGGCTCAGTTTTACTGTTTTGCCATTTCAGTTGTTGTGGACACAGTAAAAGTTACCACCCTCTCATGAACTATTCCTTGGAAAATCCTCATAGTTCATGGTAATTACTAATTCTTATTCTGTCTTTCTTGGAGTTGGTCCCTTTGGTATCTGCTTCCTTTTAGAAAGTATTTCAGCATAGCCAGTTGTCCACATTTTTTATGAAGCCAGTTTGGAAGTGGTGCTGATGGGCAATTCAGGTGTGCCTGTCAGGTGTGTGTGTGTATCCTGAGGTCCTATCCAGTCCGAGATTCAGTGGTTCAGTGAAAGGTTCCTGTCATGTGGCAGCTTTTATTCTCAAAGAGAGAGGATGTCATGTGCCATGTAGCTGGAGGAAATAGTGCTAACAAAGTGTGATGTGTATGTTTGAATGAGTTACTGGCATAAACAGAGCCAGCCGTTCCTAAGTTAATTCTTGCTGCTATCTGCAAACTGCCTTCAGAAAGTAAACAGACAGCTTGTCAGTGTTTCAGTCTGGCTAAACAGCTTGGGAAAGGAAAATTATCCCATCATTTACTGTAAAACTCCAAGCAAGTATCCCAGTGAATGACTATGTGGTTGGCGTAAGTTCATAAGAAAGAAGGGGTGGAAAGCGGTGTGCTGTGATGTGATCTGGCAGTGGTTGAGGCAGTCAGGGGCGCAGATTAGCTGCAGAAGTCTCCTGTTCAGAATGCAGAGCTTTTCAGTGTTGGTGTTACTTGGTCTCCTTCCAAACCTGAACCTTGATTTTCATACTCATCTGGAAGCCTTTCCACCCATATTCATCTGGAAGCTCTTCCAGCCCTTTCAGGAAGCTTTAAATAGGAGAGCTGTGAGAGAGCAGCATGTGGCCCAGTGTGGGTTGGACAACTTCTATGGGGATGCTGGGGACAGCTTCTAGTGACAGTCCATGTGTCTTCACTTGCATGGTGGCAGATGAGAGCAGGGATTGTTCTGCAGTCTACTGACGGGGATGCTCATCCTCTGCCTGAGGATCCCTTCTCTCTGGAGCAGGATTCTCCCCAGCGCTCCTGATGGGAGTCACTGGGCATCTCCCAGCCACTGAAGAGGGGGCTGGTACTCAGGGTGCCTGCCTCAGCAGGTCGCGGTTGGTGGGTAGTTAGGGAGTGCTTGTCCTAGCATCCCAGAAGGGCAAGTGCTGTTGGTGATCCCCAGGCTGAGATGCTATCAGGTGAGGATGTGAATCACCTCAACTTGTTTGCACTTTTAAATGGCTGGGTTTGAAAGCGTACTCCTGTCTGACAGCTGTGGAGGTTAGGTTTACAGCTCTGTTACTGAGGTTTGCTTTACAGCACTTGCTGCCTCTTGCACATGGATGGCGTGCAGTCATGGGGGACTGCAGTGCTCAAGTGCAGGATGCCTGTCACTGACAGGGTACCTGGGACTGGCTTCTCCTCTCTGAAGTCCTGAAACCTGGCATCCTGCTTCAGGGACTGCTCAGGCACGAGGGAAAGCAGGACCTGGCCTGGAATGGGCCTGATTTCTGTCTGCTGGTGTCTATAGAAGGCCAAAAAGCAGGAGAAGGAAGTGCAGTCAGGTGCTGCTTCTGAGCAAGAAGCAGCACAACATGGGGACTGAGCAGGAGAGGGTAAAATGGAAGAGTAGAAATAATGGTCCCGTAAAGTTCTACAGCCTGTGAAAGGGCTCCAGGTATGTCAGAGCTTCCTTGTCATCTTCAGCATCCCACGTGTTCATTAAGGGTGAATGAAGGTCATTCTAATTCCCTGTGTGCCCACTCATTACTACCAGACACTGCCAGTGCCTGAAAGGAGGGTGTATTCTGACGTTACATCAGATGCAATGTGCAGTCTGATAATAACCCTGTGAAATTCTCTGTGCAATCTGTTTTTTTATTAATAATAAGAAATTATTCTCTCCCAAATATATATTGAATATATAAAATCTCTCTCTCAAAAGATGATTTGCCTGGGTGATTTCCATTGGAATTCCCTACAAACAGGGACTTAGGTGGCTAACTTTGCCTCTACACACCTGTACACTTAATGGTAGAAGGAGGAAAGAAAAATGGAGCTAAAATTGAAGGTAGTTTCAGTTACTGACGTGGCAGATCTACAAAGTCTGCCTCCTGGATGTACTCATGCCCATGCTAAATACTGAACTGACTCAGGATAGTGTCTATCCATTGCCTCCATGGGGATCTGGCTGGAACAGAGCTCCCCTTCCCACAGCATCCCTTGCGGTGCTGAGTGTTTGGTACCTGGCAGGCTGCTGGTGCCAGGCAGCACTCCCAGCACAACACCCAGGCTGCCTCCCCAGCTCCCTTGCCCCAGTGGCTGGGGGCAGGAAAGAGGCTGGGAGGGGACAGATCCAGGATGGCTGTCCCAGGCTGACCAAAGGGACATTCTGTACCATATGATATCATGATCAGCAGCAAGAGAAAGGAGCAAGCCAGGGGCATTTGTTGTTAAAGCATTTGCCTTCTGGACCATCTGCTCCATGTGCAGAGGCCCTGCTTCCCAGGCAGCAGCTGTATGTGCCTGCTGATGCGCAGTGGAGAGTAAGTATTTGTGCTTACCTTTGCTTTTGCCTTATTGAACTGCCTTTGCTTGGACTTACAACTTCCTTCCATCCTGCTTTGTCCCCCCGTCATGCTGAAGAGGGGAGCACTACTGCGCTTGGTGGGCACCTGGTGTCCAGTGTAAGAGCAAAACTAGGAGCACGTGTGGAAGATGGAAAGGGCCATCACTGCGCAGGGGGTTTAAGACTTACTTTTCCTGTATTTGTCTAACTCCTTCCCCCTGTGGTAAGTGTTCTGGTACTCCTGCTGCTGCCGGCAGGGGTGTCCCTGATTGCAAGCACCCAAGTGCAGCTTCCCAACCAGGGTGGAGGTTGAAAGGCTGAGATGCTTAGCATCCATGTTCCTCCTCAGCAGGAGCCTTTCTGTTGCATATAAAGGTGATGCTGTGCTTACCTGACAGCATCTTGCTGCCTGCTGTGATGCTCTGCATCTTTGTTGTGATAGAGCTGGAGCTCTCCCAGCGACACAGGAGACAGTCAGTCACTGCAGCTACGGGGAGCGACGCGCTGCTGCAGCAGAAGTGTGCAGCACCGAGGCAGAGAAACCAGTGGGGGTAAGCACGATGCTGCAGAGCAGGATGGCAGCAGGAGAACGTATTCATCCTGACCTGCTCCCACAGCAGGGACCAAGGTTTGCCGGGAGCAATAAATGACTTTTCCCAGCAGAGGGAAGAGAAATCCAGGGAAGTGGTAAGTGTTTCAGCAAATGCATTGCAGGGTTTATGGTTCCAGTCTGTTGCCTTGTGTTCTGTGGACAAAACAAGGACTTTGGCACTCAACATCCAAGCACCATAAGGACTTCAGGGGCTGCTCATCTTTTTAGTGGCAGAAGTGGATGTGTCCTTGTTACCTGGCACTGAAGAAATTAAGGTTCTGTGAAGGACAGTGTGTGTGAAAGCTTAAGGAGCTCCAGTTTTAGGAAACAGTGTTTCCTGAGCTAAATTTTGAAAAGCTGAGCAAACCAGGAGGTGATTTTGTCTCTACAGGAACCAGATTCATTGTAACATTAAAAACCGAGTCTCCTGAGAGACCCTTGCCTCCAGAGACCCCTGCTCTTGTAACATACACAGTGAAAGAACTGTGAACTGTGTCTTCAAAGGCCAAGACAGAACGTAGTAGTGATTGTAGCTACAGACTGTACACAAACAGAAGACAGTGGTTTTTGCTGTTTAACAAATGAAAGAGGGCAGCTGGCAGGCTCAGGGTGTGCTGCCTTTGTGGAATTAACACATAGCACCCTACTCTGCACAAATAGGAATCAGTCTCTCTTGTGCGTGAGCCTGGCTCATTGCACAGCAGAGGAACCATCCCACATCTGGGACATCCTCACAGTACTTTAATGGAAATGCATGTTCCCATTAGGCTGGGGGAAAGAGTTTATATTATATATACACATACACTTATTAAAACCATTTTTAAGACACCGGCATTACACAGCTAACAATTAGAATCATAGAATTGCATCAGAACAGGTACGAGATGGGGCCAGTCATTATGATTTGTTCTAGCAACACTGATCTTTACTCTGAACAACCAGAGGAAGGGAGGTGCAGCTTGTCACTAGAGTTTTCGATGGGTGTTGTTTTTTGCACCTCTATCAACCACCACTACAGACACTTGCCTTGCATCTCCTCACAGGGGGAAGTAAAGCTCATTATGTTTCTTGGCAAATTAGAACTTTATTTGTTTGGGATGGTAACAGCTTGCATCCTATCTAATTAAAAAAAATAAAAAAAACTGCCCATTTCTTTGCCCGAGGCTTTGTTGTGCCAGAAACAAGCAGGAACAAAGCACACTGGACCTAGGAAAGTAGAGTCTTTGACAGCACTGGCATGCAAGATCCTAGAAGTAATACGGTGCTTTTCAGGGTCCAAGGTTAGTGTTCCTTTTCTTGAGAGAAAAGAAAATCAGGACAAAAAGCATTTGAAATAGTTTAACTTTGGCATAAACGCCTAACCCGAGTGGAATTGTTATATCCTCACCTGTAATCCAGCTTGATGTGGACTTAAGGATTTGGGGAAGTTTTCTCACCCTAGAGAACAAGAATGCAGGTCCCCCATTGGCTCACCATGCACTCTGAATGCTGGGTTACAGGTCTGGGATGTGTTACTCTGAGACGTTAAAGTCCCATCTATGATTTTGCTGTACTTAAGCCACGATGTTTTCACATCTGAGGGAAATCATCACTTACCGTTTTACCAGCGTTGCATTTTTCACTCTTCTCTATGTACGCTGGGTAGCGTGGCAGCATGCCCTTTAGTGGTACCTAGAGTTCTTAAAGTGCATTCAGAGTTACTGCTAAGTATCTCTGAAAATCAGGCAGCAAATACAGTGCAGATGCATGAAAAGTTTCACAAGCAAAGAAAGGTTTCCAGACATTTATTTCTGGAACTGTACACCAGGTATTAAAGTACAACAAATACAAAATAAGGCTCAAAAAAATCAGTGTTTATGTACAAATATTAAAACCAATGCAACAATAGCGACTTCCTCTTGAACATCTGATACTAAAACATGTTCCGATTGTCACTAGACTTGTTGTTATGCACAGGGTATGTACTTTGAACTGCTAATAACTAGAATCTCTGTTTTATCAGGAGGACTATAACCATTCCTACTGTATTTTACAACTGCTAGTATCTTCCTCCTTCTTTCAATGAAAAATAGAAATAAAAAAAATAGTAACCTTGTCATTACTTTATAAATTACTGTATTTAGTTTCCCTGTCTGTAGACAATGTGCTTGTAATGCTGGGCAAATAGTGTCCCTGTTGATCAGTTTATCCACTAGTTTACATTCAAAGTTGAAACACTCACTATAGACTTTGGTTAAATTAAGTAGTATCACTATGTTCTACTTGATCTGGAGTTTTCCTATGTTTTTGACCCTCAGTTTTAAAAATTAAAAACAGGAAACAATTGCACAATTCATTGACCTAATCGTACACAATTTAGTATTCTTCTAACAGTATTGTACATCCTTCAAGTAAATTCAGCGGCTTGACCATGACAAGAGGAAAACTAAACATTTAAAAACCTATTATGAGGAGACGTATGACTTACCAAAGCAAAAGTATTGCTATAATCACAGCACCAGTTACACTTCTAAATGAATCAGCTACCCTCTTCAGGTTCCCTGTACATAAAAAGTATACATCTACCAACACTGCAATTGCCCCTTATGCATTTTTTGGTTTGTCTATAGGAAGAACAAGTGTGTCTAAGGACAAAGAATTCATCACAGTTTGTTATAAGAATTGTGCTTCACCATCTAGGGACCAAGGCAATGTAATTTCTTCATATGGTTGCAATTCATTTATATTCATGCTGACTTTCAAAACACAATTCTTTTAATAAACAGTAACAAGTTCTCCATTTAAATGTTTAAACTGAGAGAAAAATAAGTAAGTCCAGCTTTTAACAGAAAATTTCAATAAATAGCTATTTTACATGGATAAAGTCATAGTGGTACAAATTTATGAATGTCACATCAAGCATGCACAAAAATGTTACTATACATGGAAGTAGTCAGAAAATATTGAAATAGATATCTAAAAAGATATGAAGAATTTACATATTTACAAAATCTTGCAAATTATTGCCTCATTTTAACAAGGAATTAAAAGTAAACGACACCAGCTAGCTAGCCAACAGGCTAAATATGATCAGCATTTAAAAATCTACTTAGACTAGCCGGAATTCATTTTTCTCTCATATCATTTTCTGAATTTTGGTCAAAAGTCTTTATTAAATAACTAAAGTGTCCATTCAACTTGCTGACAACCCAAACCTTAGACAAGCCTCTGTCTACATTAAGAGCCCAGCAATGCATAGATAAACTGAATATATTACTGCATCAGCTAATGAGAATGGGCATGTTCATTTAAGTGCAACTGGTATAAGCATTCAGTCATCTTTGTATAATGATTTCTGTACAGACCAGCCACTCACTGTAAACCCATAGATAAACTTGAATGTGTAACAATGGAAGATCATGGCCAGTATTTTACAAAATTACATAAAATGTGCTGATTCATAAAGAAAAGAAACCAGGTACAAAGTTCAGCACAAAATGCAGCAAGAAGCTGACAACTTGGCTAAAAATGTCAAGAGTACAACACAGGGCCAAGGCTACCCATTATTTACTGTGTACTTACTAAAGTTACCTATTTCAGATGTGTAAGTTAAAAACTGATTACAAAATCTTCTCTACTTTTGTCCACTGTACTAAACTAATTTGTTTTTAATATGGTAAATGTGCTACTGCATGAACACTTCAAAGCAATCTTCATTACAATGCTGTAAAGAGAACTCCACATGCTGCATCCCAAACTCAGGATGTCAATGCAGTTCACAGTATGCATAATAAATACCCTCTTCCCTTTCAAATATTTAAGTCACTAGTTTCTAATTACTCAGCATCACCTTGAAGCAACCACTACAAATACCAACAACCCAAACTTAATCACTTGAATAATGAAAACAAATCAGTGGCAATTAAATCTGTAATACAAACAGTGCAAAGAAAAGTATGGAGGGAAAGGGGTTATTCTATTTAAGTGAGGTTCAGAGTCTAATTGAAAAACCCTGTTAAATTCTGTGCTACAACTGTTGCAATCCAGTCCTATGTTTGGTTTGACTTCCCTGCAGGAATTAGAACAAACGTTAGCCAGACAAACTTCCTGGATGGCTAAATTGCACGCAATGTTCAAAATAAAAAATTTATGGAAGTTAAGTAGCTGCTGAGAAACATTTTTACTTAACCTTTCCTATCTGAGCAATGGAGCGAAGTGCCATTTTTAAGCCAATGACTTGTCTAAACAAATAAATGCAATCCATACTAAAGAAAAACTTTAAAATACATACTTCAAGGTTCTACTATTCCTATCTAAACTAGACAGTCCCTCAAAACTAACACTTTGAACTGCAGTGCTCCAAACAATTTAAGATGTCTTCCAAATGCAGACTGTTTGTTTAGTGGTAAATCCCAAGCTGTGAGGACTATAGCTTTATACACCAACAGCTGTCTTAGGTGCATGATCACATTACTCTCCAAGGTTGTGGACAAAACCCATCAAAACACAATATAGCCTAAACAGCATCTGTTTCAGCCAGTAATTTTAAAGTACACAGACACTTATGGCAGCATTATTACTTCTGTGTAAGGTAGCCATGGCCTGTAGTTTTTTGCAACAGGATCGAAGTGTAGGTCTTCACACTTTACCCATGTTAAGTCCCTTGTGCTAGCTTCCACCAAGATGAACTTGCTGTTTTGTAAACTGAAGTGCTCTAGTTTAGTATCACATGAGAGAAGGTTCCATCTAAAAAACATCCGTGTATGTTTGTGCAGTTTAAATTAAAGAAACCCATCCCTGCCTTTATAAGAAAAAAAAAAAAAATAAATGCTACATTGAGCAGGGATCAGGATCGGTACCTGTAAACATTGTTATTCCACTGCATCCGTCACAGCAAAAGTAACTTAGACTAAAAAGCCACTCCAATCCAGTCAGAACTTCTGTGCTGGTTTTGAAATGGTGGCCTCCGTCTACAGGCTTTAAAAAAAAATGGAAGCAGAGCTTAAAGCTGCACCACAGAGTTCTCTGAGTCCCAAACTCCGCCTAACATCCTATGACATTTCCACATTTATGGACTGAAAAAAGAAATTACTCTTGATAAATCAAGATATAGTTCTATACATACAAAGACATCACTGATGTCATAAAGTTCAAACTTCCAGTGAAAGACTAAGCAAACCTGATAGCTCCCATCAAGTTTACTACTGCATAAAGTACCCACTGTTTTGTTTAGTTTTCCACAGTCATTCTGAGTGAAGGGCAGCATGTTGGTGAAGCGCATGGGTACTGATAAAACCATTTGTTTCATTTGCAGATAGACTGCTGAAGTCAGCCACTGAAACAGCCATTTTGGCACTGGTAATATGATGTGTGCGGTTCTCCAAGTCTACACCGAGGTTATTTACAGAGACATCATTCATGAAAGATTCTGGGACAGGAATCCCCATTTTCAATCTCTTTGCAGGCCTTTCTGTCTCCTCACTGCACATGTTCACTGGGTTTAGCTCTGAATGATAAAAGCCAGTCTCAAATAAATTAAAACAATCACTTTCACCATTGGTAGGCAAGCTGAGCAATTCTTCTGTTCCAACAGGCACATGATTAACTGGTGCTCGGGGTAAGCTGTCCATAGGAGGAAAGGCATCATCCAGGCAGTTCACATCTGAAGTATGGCAGACTGTAGCTACACTGTTCGTCAATGCTGAAAAGAAGATGAACACAAATGCAGATGAAATAGCTGTCTGCACAGTTACAACAAAGAGTTTTCTGTTTTTCTTGATTTACCTGTCAACTCATTGGCAGTGATAGAGTTCAGAATGCTCAGCTGTTGATCGGGAATGGTTTCTGTTCGATTATTAGATGTTAAGGCTGAAGAATGCACAGCTCCACCAAGGGCTTCTGCTTCATCTACCAAACGATCCATGTAGTCCCTAAAATAAATTTGCATCCATAATGTTATTACTTGACAACAAAGCCTAAAAATTATGATGGGTTTAATTTCAGCTGCCGTAGCCACTGCAGCATTACACTGCAATGACAGCAGGGAAAAAAACATTCCGCATTCACGATTTGTAAGAGAAAACACATTCCAAGAATGTTTTACTTACGTAACTCCTGGATGATGGTTATATCTCTTCTTTCCAAACCTTGTTTGCTGAGCAAAGTAGTCATAACGTTCTGACTTTTTCCACATGTAATAGAAAGCCACACACTCAGCAACTGTTCTGGTTCTTACCTAAAAGAAGGCAGGAAAAATTGACAAGATAACCTAACGACTGACGCATTGACATCTCCCCCATTCCCATTCCTGCAATATCATTAATTTTATTGTTCTAGTATCTGGAACAAACCAATTAAATCAGGAGACTTCAAACAGATTAATAGCACTGCCTAGTGTTACATGTGTTCTACTGTACACATTACTAACTTTTTAAAAACTAGACTGAAATTGTATCTACATCTGAAGCATTTATATAAACAAATATATATAACAATTTTTTAAACTTTTAAGATGCAAAAAGCTGAGCAGATCAATGACCTAAGAGAAGTGAAGTGGAAAAGATTTGGGTACTTATGCCTTTTGGGAAAAGTGGAGGGTTTCAACAATAAATATTCAAACAACAAAATAAAACCGTAATCTGGTACCCAGAGTACGTACAAAAAACTCATTTTGATCTATGTTAACTCTCTGTCTCCCCAAAATGCAGGTAGCTATGTGAAGTCAGTTTCTTGAAGAAAATGTAATTATTTCTACCTATATTCTTACAAACTATATCCATTTTTAGATGCAGAAACATTTCACATCATGATCGGCCCACAGTTCCAGTTTAAGTTTTACAACTACAATATACAGCTCTATCCAGATACAGTCTGGCAGTAAACTAAACTTCAGCCCCATCAAACTTAGAGAAACATCAGAGAGAAACCCAAAATGCCTTGGGTGTAAGTAGTAAACCTTGCTAGTGTAGGCACAACCATACCAGGCAGGGTAGGAAATGAACAGATATGCCTAGTACATGAACTCCCAGTGAACAATGCTTTGCAGCTGGGTCCCAGAACTTGCCCTGAACTTTCTGGTATTTCACCTACTTGAAAAGAAAACCAGATTTCTTAGACAAATTCTGCTTCCTCCCAGCAGATACATCAACACATGTACTTTACTGCATGTTGGAAAAAGCATTTTTAAATTGTTTCTTTGCATATCTGATGAATTACTGTTTATTGGCAAGGTCCATTTAAAATCTGAACCACCCAAACATTATCTAGGACAGGTTAAACCAGCTATTGAGCAGGACCAGCTGACTGTTGTTGAATAGCAACCACCACCCTAGAAAGTTGACCTGAAAAACAACAAAAACACCAGACTTCTGAAGAAATGGTAAGGTGGTATCAAAGCATAAAGGAGATACACAGAAGATTTGGAAACAGCCACACTGTAAGCTCTTGCTTTTTGACCACAGAAAAATTATCCTTATTCTGCAGGCACAGAGGAGTCAGTCAGAAGCAGTCCAGAGCATGATTAGAACTCCTTCACTGGCCAGAAAAGAGTACCAATGGAAGACTACACTTCCTGAGAACACAAATAGCTAAGCCTGTTTCTGTAAACTATGCCTTCCTCATGACAAAAGTAAGCTAAGGTGCAACTTCCCCTCCCACAGCTATAGTACACATTTAAAGTAACCTATAATACAAATGAAAAAATGGATGCAAAATCAACATAAGTCAGTTTCAAAGCTGAGACATTTACTCATCTTGCAAGGCCTAGTTTTTCCAATGGCTTCTAAGAAAAAATCAACACAAAAATTCCAAGCTGGTTTTAATATATTGGTTCTAATGTCAGTCTTCTTCATGGCTTCTGACAAACGTGTTGTTTTTACAGATTTTCAGCATTATATCACATACCAATTCTTCCATTTAACTGTAAAATACTAACCTTGTTTTTCTGTATAAGATGAAAGTCTTTTCCATAAATCCTAAGTGCATCTTCAAAGCTTCTGCATTCTTCTTCTGTCCATGCTGTCATCTCTTCTAGACAATTTCAAAAGTAGTATGATAAACTCACCAAGCTTTTACAAAGAATAAAATATTTGTTGCTAATAGATGAGTACCCAAATGCATTTTTAAAAAACCCAATAGTTCAGTTATTTAGATCCATGTTCTCTTCTCTATGGTACAGATATCCTACCTGAAATCTAACGTTTGTTATAAAGACTCATAGACAAGTTTGATTCTAAGACCTTTTATGATTAAGGGCCAAGGACATTAAAAGGATTTATTATTTAATAAGTTTGTCATCAAAACACAAAGTTTGCTAACATCACCGAGGTATAAGCAAGACAAATGGTCTGAATATTCCTTCTCACATAAGATTCAAAGAACTGTGGTTGTTCGAAAAAAAAGTGAAGGAACAACCTGTTGCGATGGAAGCCATGCTCCGATTCAGGCATCACCAACACAAAAGCCTGACTGAGATCAGGCCTGCTGTGAAAACCTGTATGAACTGTGCTAGGCTGCATCTTCTCAGGAGCTAAGGAGTCTAGGCCATGTCTTACCAAGAGCCTGAGCTGGGACTAGACAAAACTGAAACCACTACAGCTGCACAAAAAAATAAAGGAGGGGTTGACTATGAGTAGTCTACTTTACACTGTAAGTACCTGTAGCCTCTGAAAGCCCACTGAACTCTCCTGTACAGCAGCAGGCTGCAAAGACATGACCTCCACTACAGCAGGGAATGGACATCTCTCAAGATGACCCTTCAGGGTTGAGACACCTCTTACCCAGCACCTGACAGCTGTAATAAGGTAAACTGTACTTTACCTAAAGCCTAAAAGTATACTAGATATGTACTTATATTAAGCTATAGCTTAATTATTAGAAGTGTAGTAAGTAGAGTTTGACCACTGCCCAATTACTGATTATTGTTAAATCATCGTTTAATTATTATTAAATTATTGCTTAATTATAACTTGATCATTTAATAATTTAAATTTAGTTAATCCCATAATAATGACATTTAATAATTTACCTATGACAAAAACTGGTGTAGTTGTCAGGATGGCACTGACTACTTACAGAGGCAAGGAGATAACCCTCCACTGAAATTTTCAGATGACATGGATGTGTGAAAAGCAGGACAACTGAAGTAAGATAAAATAACAAGAGGGAAAGAGAGAAACTGGAAGATGGCAAAGAGAAGGTGATGATAATAATATACGAGATATTGAAAGTGTATTTAGTAGCTGCGTACCAGCATAAGAAATGCGGTGAAGAAATGAGACCATTACAAGATGAGGTTGAAAAAGAAAGCGTCAAGAAATGTTGTTACCTCTGTGAACAGACCAACTGCTTAAACTTGGGGAAGAGACAGAAAGAAACATGCAGGCAGAGGATAAACTAGAACTCATGATAATCTGGGCCACCCAGATTATCCAGATCTTGTAAGATTCCCAGAACTTGTGAAATTAATTAGCTAATCAGTTCCCCAGAAGACAGTGATGGAGAGATCAGAATTCAGTGTAGCCCGTTACTGAAACAAGTATATGCTGGGCCTCAAGGAGGCAACTGGAGAAATACAATAAAGACCACTCCACGGGACCCCCTTCAACTGGCCAATCTGCACAAAAAGTATGTGTGGAAGTCTGGTGAAAGCAAGACTGAGTATCTTCAGCATGTCCCCTTAACTGGAGGAGACTGTATTATTTTAGATCATTATGGCTTTTGTGGACCAGGTGTGCTCTTGACTAAGGGATCATCCCTAACACTGAACCACACTCTATTACCTGATGAGTATCATACTGGTCAGGAGGTACAGACCCTCAGGATAGAGGGGAGCCCATGGCTACACCAGTAAGATTAAGTGAACTTTCTACTGCTGTAGACTACAAAAGCATTCTGCCTTCAGGCTATGAATGACAGTGCAAATAGGGATTACCCTATCTCTGTTCCTGCAGATATACCACAAAGCCACGAAACCACTTGTTTCACATGGGATAGAGTTAATTTTCTTTCTAGTGGCTGGCACAGTGCTGTGTTTTGGCTTTAGTCTGAAAACAATGCTGGTAACACACCAATGTTTTAGTTGCTGCTCAGAAGCGATCTGAACAAGGACTCTTCAGTTTCCCATGCTCTGCCAGTAAGGCAGGGGATGGAAAGCCAGGAAGAAGCAGAGACAGGACACCTGACCCAAACTAGCCAAAGGGGTGTTCCGTAACACAGCACGTCATGCCCAGCTACCCGGAAGGGCTAGATTCTTGCTCAGGTTGGGCTGGGTATCAGTTGGTGGGTGGTGAGCAATTGTACTGTGCATTACTTGTGTTTATTGGTTTTTTGTCCCTTCCCTTTTTAATTTCATATTCTCTCCCCTTGTTACTTCCCTTATCATCACTATTGTTAGTAGTAGTTTATATTGTATATATCCCACTCTAGTCATGGACTGTTCATATCTCAACCCATGGGAGTTAACATTCTTTTGATTCTCCTCCCCATCCGAACTTGGAGTTGGGGGGCGGGGGGAAGAGGGAGTTTGCTGTGTGGGGCTGAGCTACCAGGTGGGCTTAAACCATGACAATAACCCTTTCAAGCTTCTTAAAAAGGACCTGAAAATCCCCTTCTCACCCACCCACCCTTCTTTTTTTTTTAAATGATAAAACATGCAGTTTCCAAAACTAAATTTTACAAACAAATAAATTAAAAAAAAAAACCACTAAAAAAGGATTAAGACTTTTAAAGCAAAATAGCTCCTCTGAATAGGTTTGTTTTGTCTCAGGTTATTGTTGCTTCCCTACCTTGATTATGGCTTTGGATCTAATTAAGAAGGGATATTTCAGGCATTTTACATTCATAATGGTGATCCAGAAATTTCCCGATAAGCTGACATTTAAGGCCAACAAGAGGAAAAAATACCCCTGTGTTTCAAAACATTTCTGGCAGCAGACACTGAAACCAAGACCCTGCTGCTCCCAGATAAAGGTGATACTCATTTCACTGCAAGGCCATTTCTTTCTTCCTCACCCCATTAACTTTGCACTCCTTACTACACAGGTCTCAAGCTTGGAAGAGAAGAAAAGATCTTTACCACTGTAAAGTCTCACTGTTAAATTATCTTGGGAGTGATAGATTTTAATTCTTGTGAATAAAGTCTTGTGAATAGCAGTGAACTTCAGTGCATGGAAGCAGTGAATTACCCCCATTTACTCTAAAAGGCAGAGAAAGTACTACCATCCTTTACCATTTTTAATGAGGTTATAATGAGTCCCATCTGACTGGGGCAGGGCACGTACTAGTCCTAGGGACAGAATTTTAGGCTCTGAACCACAAATGGGCAATTTTTAATCCCCAAACAGGAATCCAAATCCTACAGGTGTGCGAGTTTAGATACAACCCTGCAACTGATACTTCCTTATTGATTAGGTCTAGAAAATCTCCTGTTGTACATGAGCTTTCTGAAGCACTGCTCTAATAGTCCTTATTATCCACTTCAGCTTTACCTTAGGTATTTTCAAAGCCCTTGTTAACACCAAAGTTCCCTCTAGATCCAGTTCTTAGTAGGAAATATCTGCAAGAATATCAACTTACACCAAAGCTCATACTCCATTTCTGCTTTATGCAACACATATGTTAAAATACAGGACAAGAACTGTCTTTGTTAAATGATAAACTCTCGATTTTCATCTAAGGGAATAATACAGTTAGGGACAAACAAGACAGAAACTTGTTTTCACTGTAAACTCAAGCAAAGCTTTTCCTGCTCTACCAAAGACCTGTGGACTTACACAGTGGAACAAACTTAGGTTTGGCATAGTATAATGTTAATACTGAGGAAGAGAGTGAGACCTTTTTATACAGCTAGCTATATTCTCCTGATTTTGGTATAAATATTGTTGTATTACAGTTGATCATGATCTCAGAAAGATACTGTAATGTGGGTAAGAACCGCCCAAGAGCAAATTCACTTCTCCCCCAACCCCTCTCCTCAGTCTCTATCATTGTTACAAGAGCAATGAAGGGAAGAAGGGAAGGTGAAAAGCTGACCCTCAACTTCTGTATGAGTTACAAACTTCTCTAGCAGGAATTTCCAACTGGCCAACAGTCAGATTATACCTAATCCATGCTAAAGACATCATGGAAAGGGATATGCTCATCAATCCGATTCTTACTTATGGTTTTGCTACACAGCTTTCTTTTTCTTTTTTTTTTTTTTTTTTTTTATTTTTTCCCAACACACATTTCTGACAACACAGGTACTCTCTCTTACCCTGAGATGTCTTTCCTTTTGAGCAGTATCTCTCAATTGCTTCTTTAACATTATGGCTACTTTTAAGAAGTTCATGCAGTGCCTATAAAATGGAAAAAGTCTTTAGAAAAAGTCAAGGGTTTGCAAATATTAAATCTAGACCAGCAAAACTAGCTTTTCAGTCAGCATATCTAATGTAAAAAAGATTTACCTTTATACATGATGAAAATTTCAAAATCACAACCAAACCCATCAAAAACCTGAGATAAGTTTTAATAAAAAGTAAAACATTATATGCAATTATTAGAAAAGCTGGATTTGTCAGCAGCACGGCAGTCAGAAACACCACAGACCACATCACCGGCAACATTCAAATACTCCATGCTTAAAATTACAAATAAGATCCCTCAGGAAGATATCCCTCAGGGATCAGTGTAGGGACCGGTCTTGTTCAACGTCTTTGTCACTGACATGGACAGTGGGATTGAGTGCGCCCTCAGGAAGTTTGCCGATGACACCAAGCTGTGTGGTTCGGTTGATACGCTGGAGGGAAGGAATGCCATCCAGAGGGAACTTGACACGCTTGTGAGGTGGGCTGATGCCAACCTTATGAAGTTTAACCATGCCAAGTGCAAGGTCCTACACCTGGGTCGGAGCAATCCCAGGCACAGCTACAGGTTGGGCAGAGAAGAGATTCAGAGCAGCCCTGTGGAGAAGGACTTGGGGGTGTTGGTCGATGAGAAAATGAACATGAGCTGGCTTCAGTGTGCGCTTGCAGCCCAGAAAGCCAACCGTATCCTGGGGTGCATCAAAAGGAGTGTGACCAGCAGGTTGAAGGAGGTGATCCTGCCCCTCTGCTCTCGTGAGACCTCACTTGGAGTATTGTGTGCAGTTCTGGTGTCCTCAACATAAAAAGGACATGGATCTGTTGGAACAAGTCCAGAGGAGGGCCACGAGAATGATCAGGGGACTGGAGCACCTCCCATATGAAAATAGGCTGAGAAAGTTGGGGCTGTTCAGCCTGGAGAAGAGAAGGCTGCATGGAGACCTCATAGCAGCCTTCCAGTATCTGAAGGGGGCCTATAGGGATGCTGGTGATGGACTCTTCATTAGGGACTGTAGTGATAGGACAAGGGGTAATGGGTTAGAACTTAAACAGGGGAAGTTTAGATTGGATATAAGGAGGAAATTCTTCCCTGTTAGGGTAGTGAGGCACTGGAATAGGTTGCCCAGGGAGGTTGTGAATGCTCAATCCCTGGCAGTGTTCAAGGCCAGGCTGGACGAGGCCTTGGGTGATATGGTTTAGTGTGAGGTGTCCCTGCCCACGGCAGGGGCATTGGAACCTGATGATCTTAAGGTCCTTTCCAACCCTAACTATTCTATGATTCTATTCTATCCTGACCCCAATAACAACTAATTTAAAAAAATAAATAAACTGAGTATTGTTGCATGTGTAATACAAGGCAGAGAAAGAGAACACGTTAACTGCAAAGCAATGTGGCACAAATGGAACAAGATATAAAACATACTTGTTCATTGTCCCGTGTATGTAGTCCTTCAGGAATTCTGCCAATCATCTTTTCATTTCCTGTTCTTAAGGAAGTTTCAAAAAGGTATTCTTTAACTTTACTTTCTGAGATCACGCCAGGCTTCCAAAGTAAATGGTCTTCATTTTCATAGGCTGTTGTAACAGAAACCCATTAACACCAGATGTAACATTTTTAAGGCTGTAACATTAAAAGCTATTTCCCAAAGATACAGAAGAGGAACACAAAGTAACCAAATCAAGCATCATCATGCTACTTCTAAGTTGCAGCTCACTTTTTCCCTAAAAGCCTCAGTTAAGAAACAGTGTGACATGGCAAAGACAGTCAGGCTGCATAAGGATAAGGGATGGAACTACTGAGACAAGGAGTCTACAGAAGAGCAGCCTGCTGACAGCTAGATGATTCAAGTCTAATTATGTGTATGTATTCATCATCTTCATATAAACAAACTAGCCAAACCATTCACAGTTGTATTCAGCTGTTTTAAAAAATTACAGTTCTATAGTTTACAGTAAAAGAGTACAGGATATTATTTTACTATTTCAAGCGTTACTTGTCAAAAGAAAAAAAAAATGAAGAGGCTTAACTAGCAATTTCAACTAGAATTTGCCAAAAATTACTTAAAAGAATGGAAATCTAGGTCTGAATGTGGTAATCTGTTCTTCCATTCACTAACAACTGAATGCTGTTAAGAACTTGTATGTTGCATACTTGACAAGCAACCAGGATGTACAGTCCTCCTTCATGTTATGTTGAAACCAAGTAAGCACCTCTTAAACAGTTTATTTGAAAGACAATATACTGGAAATTAGCTAGAGTTGGCCTGAACCTTTGTTGGCCTTTGCACACGTTTCAATTCCTGATTAAGCTATAAATCCTTTACTCTGATCAATAGATGTGGTTAACACTGCACATAATGTTTCACATACTTTCTTGGCAATACAAAATCAGAGTTATTGAATTCAAACACACAAGTATAACAGTTGTTACAGTAAAAAAGATGAAGATTCTCAATTCTCATAAAACTGCAAGAAACAGTATTTAAGGTAAGGTGAGGAATAAAATTACATCTCTGAAAGTTCTCTTACGGCTTAAGAACATGGAAACTTTCAACAGACATGCTACAAGAGTAAGGTTTATAGATGAGCAGAACTGCATTCTAGCACAATTCTGCTAGCTGGGAATACACAGCAGAAATGTAAGCCCTTGTTCGCAATCACAAGCTCTTCACAGAGTACAGAAGAGGCTCTCACAAAATCCTCTACCCCTACAGCCAGGTCCAACCTCTTCAGAACACTGCTTATGCTCATCTTCAACCTCCTTTATCAACAAAGACAGCCCAGGACTTCTAGCTGGGGTCCATGAAGGATAATCTCAAGAGATGCTCCTCTGTCTCCCTCATTTTGCAGCTACATCATTGCTCTTGGCCATGCCAGCAGACAACACTCTTGATGGTTGTCTCCAGCACCAGCTCATTCCAGAGAAATTGTCAGATTAACCCCTTCCTGGTCATCCTCTGGTTATTGACATTTCTCTAGTTCTTGGCTGAGGAGAAGTCAAGATGTATAAACGGCAAAACAACTATCCAGATAAATCCAGTCTTACTCCTCTATTTCTTACAAACAATAAGCATCATGCTTGAATCTTAGAAAATAGGAGACTTCCCCAGGTCTTAAGGAACACAAGAGATGCTCATTTGACAATACTTCCTGCTCCATCCATACCCAACATTCTTCTTCTCTACTGCAAAGCATCATTCTTCAAAAAAGCAGCTGGTAATGGTGAAAAGACTTTATATACTACACTAGAATAATATCCCCATGAAACATTACAGTGCAAAACAAGTAACTTGCAGAAAATTTACAGAAAACAAACAGAATGCCCTTCATTTATTAATATATCCCCCAAATTGTTCTGGAATTTCCCAGCTGTTCCACCCATTAGCAAACTTCTTCCATTAGTTACTTTCTCAATTCCACAGCTGCATGCGCTCTACCTTTCTCATAGTAAAGTTTTCTAAAAATATAAAATAGAACTCCTCTTTCTTCTACTCCAGCACAATTGCGGTTTTTAACCTGAATTTGTACTGGAATAATATAATACTTAAAACATGGAATTTTTTTTAAGACAGAAGTACCTACATCTTCTATTCATGCTATGGAAATTTAGTTTATTGCATTGTTTTCTGTATTTATTTTGTAACCCACACTGTTGTGCTCCTGAAAAAAAAAGTAAAATACTGTTTTGAAGATCTTCAGTGTTAACTAAGTTACATGCTCATAGTCCAGTTACAATACTCTAATGAAAAGATTTCCTTCTTAACCCTGTTTGCTGCACTCTAATAATACTTCAGTGCTAACACTGTAATCCACCTTCCAATGCTTTCTTGAGAATGCCCTTTCAAAACTGAGTTTTGAAAAAGAAATCAAATTTCTGAGATAGAATTATGTGATTGTGTTATTACAGTTTTCTTAGTGCCTTTTTTGTGTGTGTGTGTGGTTTTCTACTGTTTGGGATTTTGCTCGTTTGGTTTGGGTTTCTTTAGGATCTGTGTCTTTAAGCCACCGAATTTCTCTTAAAAATTTAAAGAACATTTTTTCATCAACTACTATGTATAAGCATAAAATAAGAAGTAAAATATTCAGAAGAACTTACCCTTTTCATTATCAGTGTATCTGCCAAGATAAGGTGGAATTTCAGCCTGGTACTGTGAACCAACCATTATTTCCTGAAGATGTAACAAAAGTGAAAGACAAAAGTATTAACTAAGTATTTTGTGTATGGAATCATTAAAAACGCCATTAACATGGCATTTGACAGAGAATTCCAGAATTAAGGTAATATTTTAGATATGCACTATAAATCAATGCATTTTTCATCACAGTAAAGGCTTTTTTAACTTTTTTTTTTTAAAGATATAATTATTACCTTTCTCAAATCTTCAGATGAATTACCATTGTCTGCCTCTACATCTTCACCATCTGATTCTTTATCTCCATCACACGTAGTGTTTGCTTCAGACACAAAGAAGTTTGGGTTTAGCTAGCAAGAATTTTCAGTTTGAGCACAGAACTACAAGGTATAACTAACTTTTGAAAGGAGCACCTGCTTTTATTCTCAGAGACACTTAACCATGAATCTATTAACCTACATTTCTATGAAACTGGCATGAAGTCAGAAAGGACTGGTATTTGTATACTGCAGAACTGAAACTTTAATCATCACTGCATCTTAGACAATCTAATTTATTTTTCTTTTATTTTTATTTCTTTTCTAAAATTCAAAAGGAAATGAGACCATTTTTCTTCATCTATTTTCTCAATAAAGGCTTCTACCTTACAGAAAATGTATAAGAAAAACAGCCTCCACGGCTATGACTTAGCCTCAGGTTAATCACAAAGAAAGTAAAGTTGAAGGCATGTCTCTATAACCTACTAAACCCTTTCATCAGGAGTTTTAATGGGCACTCAAAACATTAGTTTAAAAGAAGCTTGCCTAAGCATGGAGTGAAAACACAGGAGAGATATACAAAATGGAATAAGCAAAAAAAACAGCAACAGACTGCTTATTCGTCTTTAGTCTCCCCGCCTCCACCCTTCTCCCTCTACCCCCCAAAGAAATACCTGCAGAGCACTCCCAAGCAATTCAAATCCATAGAAGAACTCGTATTTTATAATCTGAAACACTTCAGTACCAGGTTCTGACGTAATTCTATTTTTATAGCTGTATAATCCTAGCAGAATGAAATCTACAATTCTGATATGATTAAAGCTGTTTCGAATTCTCTAACTTCAGAAACGACATACTTATAGATAAGGTTGCAATTTTAGCTTCATCGCAACTAAACAGAACCATCAATGTCAGAGACAATATTCCAAGACTGTGTGGACTGAGGCTCTTCTGCAGTCATTATGACAATCACCAGCCTTACCTCTTTTTAATTGTTAGAAGCTTTAGTTAGAAGCAAAAAGCTAACAAGAATGTGTGAAACAACAACATGCCTGGATAATCATGGGCAATTATTTCTTCCAGTTAATGCAAATTTAATAAAATAGCCTATATTATATAGTAGACATGTTTACCTTAAAACTAAATGTAATCCTAGTGTCTGAGGAATAGACAGACATAGAAAAAAAAGATGAAATTGTCAACAGCAGAAAGGACAACTCCTTCCCTGAAATGGCAGAAATTTGATTTTAAAATGTCCAGCCAAAAGTTTGAATAAAAGTAACATTCTGATAGAAAGCCATGACATCTGAATACGACTGATGATGGGCTAGTAATTTTTTCTATAAAGCTGCCACACTTTCATTCTCATATTAAACAGTTCACAAGCAGCGTTTAAATGCCGGCCAAGTTTGGCCTTCGCTTGATTAAAAAAAGGGCATGATAATTTTAACATTTTTGTATCTCTCTTTCAATAAAAATGTCTTGTATTTAGCATACAATCAGCAGCATACAAGGGGCTACAACTGTTGGTAACTGAGGCAGAACATCCCCTTTATTATCCCCCTTCTCTAGAGGAATGAAATACCCAAGAAATGGCATAAGATACTTGCCAAATTAAAACCACAAGAATCCTTCACATCGCTCTAGTACGCCAGCGAACAAAGAAGCTGCAACAGCAATGAGGACTACCTCGTCAAGGTTGGATAAGTGAACCACTGGTTCTCAGATCTTTCCTGTAATAGCTCCATGGGCAGTGAAATTTTGGTGGTCATGGGTTTACAGGCCCCATCAAATATAAAACTACTTCGGATCATCCTGTGAAATCCTAGTGGAAAAGTGTTTAATGCGTGAAAGGAAATAACCATAAAGAAACTGCATCCCTGTTTACATGCACAGGCTGCATGGAGGAGTCCCTGCCTTAAAAGCAGTTCCCAGTAAAGTCAGCACTACTCTGCAATTCTGATATTTTAAGCTAAGAAGCTGTATACAATGCTACTATAAAATAAGGTCTCCTACATCTTAATGGCCGAGGAAAGAAGTCAGTAGCTTCATGTGAAGTAACTGATGGTGTCAAGTCATCAGCAGAGGACTGTGTTTCTTCATCATCACCCGACAAGAGGTCTTTAGCGATTTCCTCCTGTACCATTAAAATAAAAACGTAAAACCTCAGACTGACTGTTAAGTATAGACTGGTGAGCATTTAGATACAGCAAATTCTAGGTATCATCAATTAAAATGCTTTCCTGTATGTAAATTTAGCAGACCACATCCCCTTAATTAAAATGATAGTTTGCTGCTCCTAAATCTAAGACTAAATACACCTATTTATTTCAGAGTTGGACACATGGGTTAATTTTCCCTTAGCCTTCTATTAAAATAAACGCACAAGAAGTAAATTCTGCACGCGTAAGATGTTCTTCCAACTGCTTTCAATGAAAAATGCCAGTAGAAACTGCCTCAAATCTTTGGAATTCTGTCATTCTTTGCATCACAGACACACTGGAGCTTTAAAAGGCTGTTTCCCCTTAAACTCTGGGAAAAAACAAAACAAAGCAGCCAGGCACTTTTGTAGACTTTTGCTGTGAGGACAGTTACAGGTCACAGACAACATGTTATCTTCCCAAAACATGTACAAAAAAAATGTTGTTTCTGTACGTTAAAAAAAAAAAAAAAAAGAAAAAAGAAGAGAATATTAAGAAAGAAAAAGTACACTTCCTCCCTAGCAGATGTATTTGAGCCCCTTTGTATAGAGGTTAGGAAGGGAAGAACTGCGTTAGACAACAAGCCGACTACATTTCTGTAGCCTCAACACAATCATGAATCCTAATGAGAATCAGATGTGCAGAGCCATCATTATACCCTACTTTCTGCGGAGTTCACCATTACATCATACTCAGAGAGAGGGAAAAAAAAGAGACATATACCTACTACCTCCAAACTACTAACTGCATATGCTTTATAGCAGAAAATCAGACTAAAATCTCAGAATTCAAAGTTAGCTTGCAAAATCACTAAACCAAAAGTTTCAGGTTTCTACATCAGCAATGCAATATATTCAGTCAGTGCATATAAAAGAATTTCCCTCACTCCCCCAAGTTAAGAACTTTCCAAACAATATGCATTTGAAAGCCACATTCTAAAGCAGTCAGGAATGCATTTTCAAATTATCCACAAATGTTTTGATATTTGTCAAGTGTGTTATAAGCCAGAATTACTATTTTTGGACACTGCGAACATTATAAAAAAACCCCACTTCTATTAAAAAAATTAAAAATAAAAAATCCAACCCATTTGGATGTGTTTTAGGACAACTGTTAACTTTCTAATTTCTCATTTTAGTAACACAGTGCTAATTAAGTTGCTATTCATTTTAAAGTGTGGAAAAAAGAATTAGAATAAAATCCTCAATATCCTTGAAAAATAATTAATTCAGAGTAAAACTGTACATTAACAAGGATACATAATTTGTAATATCAAGAGACAGTGCAAAATATTTTAAGGTCACTTTGATTTCAGCTTTTAAACCATAATACGTGGGAAAACGGTTCTGACTTACTTTATCTAGAGTCATATCTGGAAGTTCATCTGCAAGTTCACTTGGAGAGCTATCCGCACTGGAACCTGCCATAACTGGAATTGTGGGTTCATAACCATAGAATGCCAGTAAATCTTCCAACGGCATGTTTCCTTCCTAATACAAGAGGATTTACAAACATATCAACACATTGCCAAATACTTGTAAACAGTTCAGGCGTAAAAGGTTAAGACATTACTCTGAAGAAGTAAAAAAAAAAAAACAAACAAAAAACCAACAACAAAACCCAAACAAATGTAACTGAAACCAAGAATCTTGATTAGAGATTTAAAGTATTTTCAGGCACAGGACTGAAATTATTCATAACCATGTCTCTCGGCATAAAGGGAAATTCCACCAAGCTACTGAATAAAATTGTTTACCGCATGAAACTAAGAATAAATATAAAAAACTTCCTCTCATCGAATTTACACTGTAAAGCGTGATTTGCATGTATTTCAAGACAGTGGATACCCTAGAATCACTAACAAACCCCCTACAAGAGAGAAATCCAGAAAAACTTGAAGTTTTCAGTCCTACACAGTTACAGCTGCAAGTGAGCAAACCCCTGTAAAAAATAAACCAATCTAGCAACTTTAAAGCCCTCCTTTCCATCTCCCACAGAACATACTTTTATCATGATCACTGAGAAGGCAATAGAAGACTAAGTCTTGATTTGTAACTTGTTTTTTCCAAGAGCTTCTGATAAGTGATTTTAGCAAGCATCATTATACTTGCACCCTAATACAATTAATAAAACAATAAACAGCAAATATTTTTTAAGTTACCTGACTCAAGCCATCAAAATATTAAAAATATTTTCCAATACTTATACCTTTAAAAGTTATATTACCTTTAAAAAATTCTTGTTGAACTCAATACACTGATTAAATTACTTGTTTTCTTTAGTCAGCTAAGGTCTTAGTCCTGTAAAGACTTTTCACAATGGTAAACGTAAACTCATGTCCAAGTCTTTCCAGGATCGGGACCTAAAGTAATAAAGCGTTTAAGATGAGTGGCTCTCTCTTCTTCCTTGATTATAGAAGCAACAAGATAATTTTGTGGAGTAACAACTCCATTTTAACCACCAGACTTGGCAACCTGCTTTGCTATTATAATTGCAAGCTCATAATCAGCAAAAAAATCTAACTGTAAAGGCAGCATGACAGAAAAAAACAACAAACCAACCAACAAACAAACCCCCCCAAAAAAACAGGAGTATAAACAGTGTCAACTCCATACTTAGAAAATTGTTTTTTACATAAGACTATAAAAACACTGCCTCTTATCTGATGCTAAAAATTACTTCCTTGGGGCTCTGTTGACCAAAATCTGCAGTTATGCCGAGTGCTGTAAGCGGGTCACTGAACAGTAATGCAAGCAGCATCAGTTTGTGGGTGTTCGGCATACTCTGAAATGTTTAATGCACTGCCACAGATGAACAAGAGGTTTACACAGGAAAAACATGTCATCAAAAAGGGTAAAATGGAATAAGGAAAGCCAAGGAGCACATTTGTCATTTCGTACTCCCACCAAATGCCAAACTGATGAAACTAAGACACAGAACTGCCATTTATATAGCAAATGAATGTGATCCATCACACCTAAAACAGGACTGTTTGTCTGCATACTGGAAAAGCAAAACCTGACCAACAGAATCAAATACAGCTAGCTGCTCACTTAACAGTATGCAAAATGGGCAGTGTTAAGTTATATACAACTTATAAAACTTAGAACTGATACTGGAAGACAGGACTCTAAAACTTACTTCCATGATTCCCCTACCAAAACAAAAAGACTACTAAATGAACTTACAAGTGATGTTAGATGACAGGACTCTAAAAACTCTAAAACTCTGCTTCTGTGATTCCTCTACCAAAGTGAAAGGACTACTAAATGAAAAGTATGAAGTTAATATAACACTAGTATGAACTTATCATAACACTAGTATCTAAGCTAAGTTCAGTCTTTCTGTGAAGACGCACGACTACATCCTAACAAGACCTGATTTTCTTTTTTTTAACAAGCTGCAAACGCATGTTGCAGGAAACTGACTTATACTATACAAACTGAGGAGCAGGCTGAGTTCTTTTCACTAGAAAAATTGTGGCATGTATGGACATTTACAAGAAAGCGAGTCACTCTTACCTTTTCTAAATCTTCGATTTCAGTGCTGAAATTTTTGCTTTCTTCCATCATTTCCTCTTCCTCAAGGGTTCGCTCATCATCATAATCATGCACCAGCATTTCAGCAGATGGGTCAAAGTCATGATCCTCTGACGATAAAGAGCCAACTATCAAAAAAACTTAATTTGAGTAATCTTTTTTTTCTGTACCAACATATGAAATTGCATCACAGAAAATAAAAAAAGGTAGCATGAATTATCTTATGTACAGGGTCAGAAGTCTCAGTGGAGTAACTCACACAAAGTCCTAACTACTTGACAAATTCAGCTGTTTTAAGCTGACCTCTTTCTGTGTTTGTAAGCAATAGGTGCAGTTTTCTCTTTTGCAGTACAGGATACTTGGAAGAAGTACCTAAACTACTAAAACAAAGTTTCACAAAGTAAAATCCCAATTTAATATTTTACAGAGTAAAAGGTTGCTCAAAATACCCTTGAAATCATCATTAAGGTACAAGGCACACGTCAAGGTTTCAGATGCTGCAAGACCATGATTTAGAGAGTCTGATTCTGCTCATGTGATGTTTATGGTAACGGGTATAGTTTTTCACTGCTAATCAGCTAAATTAGGTTATGAATTACCTTCTTACCAAAGTAGGAAGGTAAATAAACAGTAAAGATTTGTTTCAGATTTGCATCACAGATGTAGCTTTTAATAAAACTACTTTAATTCTTACCACTTGACCTAGAAAGGAAGAATAAATGTAGCAGAGTTTCAAGAAATATTGAAGAAAATACACTGGAAATGAAGCAATGCTTCCAGTAGTTCACATGAACAAGCCATGGTGACAGCTCTGTGGTCCAACACTTTTTCATTACTTAAGAGGATACTTTAAATCATCGAAAAAGTACTGTACTGTTATTAAGTGTATTTTGCATTTATATTTTAAGTGTATTTTAATGATAACCTTTCTGTTATAACAGGTATCATTAGATTCAACAAGTTTTAAAGATGCAAATATTCTGCACCCCAAAGTGGTGATAAAAATTACTAAATTACAGGGTTGTTTTGCTCTTTAGTGTTAACTTTCTTACAGAGGAAAGAAACAGATTCGAGCATTTATCTTTCATGTCTGATTTCCCTTTTGGTTCTTACATTCTAGTGCTCTGTTGCAATCCTTGGCTTACAAGCAGCTAAGAAAAGGCTTACTAAGAATCATTTCCATGTAAGAACTTCTGAGGAAGTTCTGCACGGAGCAGCTACAAATTTTCAATCCTCTCCAAAAAAAATAAAGCAGTATCCCTCTTTGCACCATTTCCAGTCTTGAAAGAGACAGTCCTATATACTAATGCTTCTGATTCTTAAAGCACCTAACTAATTTTTCATCAGTTAGGTTAAGTGCTCATTCCTAATATGCAGGTAATTAAAGCAAACTTTCACTGTTCACTTAATACTGTGAAAGTTCATATCATACTGAAGAGAAACATTCATGCCTTAACCTATTTATATATATGTGTGCTCAAGATTATTGTTTCTAACCCATATTCTAACTCATTTTATGTTTGAGTAACTGAAGTGAAAGCTCTTTTACCTAAAGTCTGTGTCAGGAATAAAGTCCTAAGTATTCAAAAAACAAGCTCAATAAATTTCGTAATAGTTAAGAGAAAACAACCAATGCAAAAGCAGCTACGCAGAAATACAGCCCCCAAATACTATTTTGAGAGTAGCCCTCCTGATGTTAACTATGTGTGCTTGTGTAAAGTATTCCAAAGAAACTTAACAGCAATTAAAGCCTTAAAAATTACTTATCACTATGATTTAGAACATCCTGTTATTACTAAGAAGTCTAAAATTTACACAAGCATATAGTTATCAGCAACAAGAGAAGCAGTCTCTCTCTAGGCTACCTGGCTTTACTGAGATGCTGACTTAAAAGTGCAACAAAACGTTGTCCTCATTTTGGGTTCCGAGCAGCCAATTACTAACTGCAACGAGAGTTAAAGGAAGGACTTCACAGTTCACATCTCCTTCTCTCAAATTTATCTAGCAGGCGGTTAATTGCGTGGAGATGAAGCGTTAGGAAAGGTACGAAACGATAAATTTGGGAAGAATCAGGAAGGCGAGCGCGGCGTGCGGGCTGCAGGCCGGGTGCCGGAGCAGGAGGTGGGCGAGGACGAACCTGGGCTCGAACTCCCAAAGGAAGCCTGCGGAGAGAAGCGAGAGCGAAGTGAGTGCGGGCTCCCACCGGCCGGGCAGCAGACTAGGGCCTTCATTTCATGCTCCCCGCCTCCATCCCCGGAGCTGTCCGCCCTTCCACTGCCGCCCCCCACCAGCCCCAGCCCCTTCGTCCCGCCCTGCTGGTCCGTCCATCCCGTTCACCCTCTGCCTTCCCTCCTTCGCTAGCTCGCTCCCTGTCTGTCGCTGTCCTCTCCTCCTCCCCGCGGGTAAAAGCCCCCAGGAGCTGAGCCCGGCCCAACCGGCGCTCCCCATCGCTCCAGCAGTGGCCGGGAGAGACATGACAGGGGCACGCAGCACCGGACCGGCCGCCGCCTCTTCCCCGCTCCCAGCCCGGGGATTGCTCCTCCTCCCCTCCCGCCGGGCGCTTCTCCATCGCCCGAGCTACAAAGCCGCCGCCGGCCCGACCCGCTCCCACCAGGGCCCTCCGCACCGGTCGCGCCCCCCTCCGCCCCCGGCCCAGGCCTGTCGGCCACCCGCGGGCTGCGAACCCGGCACCCGCGCTGCGCGGCGCCCGCCGTGCGGCCTAGTCGCGCAGGCTCCCGCTGCCCCGGCGCCGGCGGCTCCATCGTCTGTCCCGCCGCCCTGCAGCCCGGCATGCCTCCCCGCGGCGCCGGCCGGTCTCGGAGGCGCCTTACGGGGATGTCCAGGCGGGCGCGGGGGGTCTGCAGGTGGCGGCGGCCCCCGGGGAGCCGGCCGAACTCCGACGCCCCAGCCCGCTTTCCCCGCTTACCTCCGCCATATTGGGACGACCGGGCTGAGGAGCAGCGCTGCGCCGAGTGCCCGGATGGGGCCGCTAAGCCAATGGCAGCCGCCGAACCCCAGCCGAAGCCGGCCGGGAGAGAGCGGAGGGGCCGACAGGACCGGGCTGGGGCGGAGGAGGCGGTGCCGGGGCAGGGAAAGCGCCGGGACCCCACCTCCGGCGGCGCAGCGGCCTTTCGCCCCGGCCGGCGAGGGCGCTCTGCCCTTCCCGGTTCGCTGCGCACCGGGCCTGCCCCGTCCGGAGAGGGCGCTCAGCGCCAACCCCTGAGTCCAGGCCACAGCGGCTCGCGCTGGCTTCCGCCCGCCTCACCTGGGGAAGCCTGAGCCGGTGGAGACTGCCAGTTCTGGGACGAGGCGACCGGCAGTCGTGCCACTCCAGGGCCGCCCCCGGCCGGCTGGAGCGGAGTCCTCATGACCGTCTGGGTCAGCATGTCTGCATCGCTGCGCTGTGCCGTCCTGTCCCGGGCCGAGGGTGCCCTGCGGGAGTAGTATCCAGCCGTGCCACCCGCGCCTCCCTCGGTGTCGAGCCCCTTAGGTTCTGGAGTGGAGGGCGGCTGTTACACTGACACCGAACATCCTAAGATTCTGGAGCAGGAAACAAATGTCCAAGCCTTCAAACCGTGCTGTTGTTGTTTGCCTGCTGTGGCTTAAACGGAGAAAGTTCAATTTACTTTACAGTGGGGTTTTCTATACAAATGTTGAAGCGTTTTACATGCAAGTAGTATTTACTCTATTTCTCTGTGGTATTTTCTTTTTTTTTTTTGTTTTGTTTTTTTTTTTTTTTTTTTTTTGTGTTGGTACACATAAAGTGTGAGTCAGGCAGTTTTAAGCTTGGTTTCTTCATCCCAGGCTACAAAGACTTTTAATTTCAGAGTCGCATGTTTCTCCTTCTGGCCAAAATAGCTTCTGCCATACTAGCTGTATCGAATACTGCACTGTTGAGGTGGTGCTGTGCATCACAGTAACACTTGTGCAACAGTGCCCCAGACTGCATCCAGCCCCAGGAATCTGGGAGGTTCAAGGATGTGTTACAAAGTGAACAGCTTCTTTGGGTGCGTCCTAAGTTGGACTTGCGGACAGTGTAGAGACCCCAAGATAGGTACTTAAGGAGTGCAGCTCTATACTGTTTATTTATTCTGCTGGGACCTGTTGCTCTGAGAAAGCGTAAATTAACTTGTGTTACGGGCTGCATTGATGAGTCTAGTCTAATTCCAGTATATAAGCTCTGCGTGTGCCTTCATACTACACAGCAGCCAACAATGTAGACATACCTGCTCTTGATGTACCTGGGGTAAGGTGCTGACAACTTAAAAATCACAAAAAAATTGCAGAAATACTTTTCTTTTTCAGGAAACTTGTCACAGTCACAAACAGCTACAGCAGTACCTCATCCTCTGACTGCTGATCAGTCTGCTTTTTCCCAGAGTTGTATACGCAGTGTACACTGCATGTACTCAAAAATTAGGAAGAAATAGTTAATCATTTACTTTGACTGGTCTGGAATTCCATTAAACGTCACTAATGTTCCTTAGAGTCTTTCAGTTTTGTTGCTCCTCACATACACAGAAACCCAGTTTCTATCCCTTTTCCCTTGAAGCCTCAGCTCGGGTAAGATTCTGACGAATGCGGAACATGTAACACATACACAAGCCTGTTCATCTTATCAACAAAATAGCACAGAAAGTGCAGCAGGAAGAATCACCAGTTCAATACATATTTGCTATTATATATGTTTTGTCAATAGGAATTCTTGCCAATTTGGATGCAAGTAGCTATTTCCTAACTTCTGAAACACTTTACTACTTCAACTATTCTTGTTCTTCAAGAGTCTTTCAACAGTTTCATACGATCAAGTTTTTCAGTTGTGTGCAATTTTACAGAAAAATCTTCTGTTACTAATTTGCTGCTTAATCTTTTATCAGGTTTAGATCAGATTTAGAATTGAGAAGTTTTATTATGATTCATACCTCCCTGATAAAATAGCATGAACTTATAGTTCTACCACAGCAGGTCAGAGGGTGTGTTCCAGAGCTGTCATAGAAGTTGCAGCAAGAATTCTGAATTCTGGAAAAACGAATGCTCAGAGTTGTGGACAGGGAAAAAAAAAATAAAAACAAAATAAAAACTTACTGGGTTCTAAATCATAACTGTGGAACAAAACAAGCATTTATTTTTCTTGTCTCTCCCTGGGCTTCAATTTTGCACTTGGAAATTGCAGCTGTACATAAAAGCTTACAAGTATTTGCAGATTCCAACACCTACCAAAAAAAAAAAAAAAAAAGAGATGGCAAAAATCTGGATCCTGAAGATTTGAAAATGGCTGCTATAATCCTGTATCTGAGTGAGGGCTGGATTATGACAGCAGTATCTGCTGTGCAGTTATGTTCTATGCTGTTACAACACGTTTTACCTCCCACTGAGGATGGTGAAGTTATTGGGGCAAGCTCGTTTGATGGGGATGGAAAGGAACAAGATAGTGATTGCACAACCTCTTTCTCAATTAACATTTTTCTCCAGAAACAGGGCTGAGTGTTGTATGCTCTTAAAGTGTAGCCTGGAAACTGAACTACCTTGTGCTTTTGTAGAGCCTGGTGTGGTGTTGGTATGAAGCTTCCACCAGAGCCCAGAGTTTTCACTTCTCCTTCCCTCACCTCCCTGAGCAGAAAGGCAAGACTGTTCTTTCCATTTTACAGGGACTCAGAAGTACAGATGGCTGAACAAAGTATGTATGTGCATATATACAATGAATTAAATAGTTACATCAATACAAATACAGTTTTCCATAGCAGCTGGGAATACAAGACTGTGGAGTTCTGTATTTCAGTGTGTCTTTTCTCTTGAATTGGGATCAAGAAGATGGGACAAAAATCTGATTAAACTGTTCTCTCTGAAGTAAGAGAGGAAGACATATTTTGTGTCCATATTTTGGGTATATTTTATCATCCAAGTGAATCTCAAGCTAAAAAAAAGAAAAAAAAAGTTGGTTTTTTTTTTCAATTGGTTCTTTGAAAAGACTAAAACTAATTAGAAAAGCAGAATCCAGGCCTTTTTTTTGTTTTTTTTTTTTTTAATAAACCAAAAATGTATTGAAGCTGATCAGTTACAGATCAGGAGTTTTAAGGTAAGAGTGCAGAAGCTCTAGAAGAAAATCTGTTGATCTGTAACATTTTTTCTCCTTTACACTTTAAGAATAGTATAATGTCTTTTCCATTCTCCAGTCTTAGGTGTATGGTATCAGAGATACATCCAACAGCTATTTGTAATCAGAGAATATCATAACCATGTTTGAAGTCTTGTCCTGTATCTGGGTGGTGTGAATGTTTTGATAATTTTTCACTTCAGTCCACACTTTTCTAGCAAACGTGTTGCCCAAAGCCCTAGAGTAAAGGGGTCTCAGATAGCCCTTCCTGTAGGCATACTGGCAAAAAGTAAAGCCTACTTGTTCAAGAAATGGAGCTGGTCTTAGATGCTTCAGCTGTATCTCTACTAGTACAGTAAGTATGCTCAGGAATGTTTCCTAGACACTGAAAACACCAAAAAGCACAAGACTGCCCACGTCTCTGCTAGCAAAACCTCTGCTTTCTTCAGAGACTGCCTGTGGCAGATGGACCATTGAACACAGTAACTCCTGACAGGTATGGAGGAGGCAGGCTGGTGTGAGAAGTGCATGAAGCATGTGGAGACCATCCTAATAGTCTGATGTGATAGATCACCATATGCCAGTGCTATTTAACTTACCAGAAAAGATAAAATCATAAAAATACAAGTCACCATCTCCTGCCAATGTATATTCTTTGAGCTTTGAGATGGGAGGATGGAAGGAAGCCCATCTGTGTATTAGGCATATCACTTACTACTCTTAATTACATTGCTCATTGTGCAGATACTATAGTTTTGAGGATTATATTTGCAAAAGAGAATGGATACGCAAAAGAAGTTTTTAAATCCCTAGTGGTGTCTGTATCTCAGTACTTTAATTTCGATGAGTGCAAGTAACACAGCTTTCTGCAGTACTGACTAATGTAAGGAAGTTTGACTTTTTAAATAGTACTGCTCACTTAACCTCTCATGCCAAGTTTTCAAAAGGAATAGTTTCCCATACTGCTTTTAGTATTCTGCTGTTTTTTAAAAAAAGAAAGTGTAATTTCTCCCTAGAGAACCTGGATAAAAAGTTCTAAGCGATTTACTTCTCATAATAATAGCAACAATATTAACATGCAAACCAGCCTATTTTTCTCTGAAGCTTATCAACAGCTGCAGATTTACAGCAAGGAGATGTTTTACCCAGACTTACAGGCAGATACAGCACATACATATAATGACAGCACTGGCAATTACATAAGAGATGGTGTAATATGAGCATAATATTTTTAATTTAGGCAACCTTTGTGTGGTTTCTTTCATGAATTTAAACAATTTCATTTGTATATAATCATAAATAGTTGTAACAAAAGGTTAGATATTGTAGCAGGAATGTAGGCAGCCTGTCTCTCCTGGCTGTGTTACTCCCTCAGTTCACTTCTACCAGGAAAAGCAGCTTTTCCATGAGCACTTCCTTCCAAACCATCCTTAATTGGAATCACCTGTCTTTCTTTGCACTGTCATTCAGTCTAAAGTGCCAAGGGGCTTCTAGCTAGCCAGTACCTTTGTCAGATTGCCTTCCACCCTCTTTTACATGTTGCCTGCATAGCATGTACTGCCCTTCTCCCTTTTTCTAGAGAATGCATCCTCTCACACCCCATGTGGCTTCTCTGTTTCCTGACTCATCCCCACCGCAGCTCCCTTGGGCATTTTGAAGACGTGGTCTGAGGAATGCTTGTTACCAGGGACTCACCTTAGGCTGCACCCTGCAGCTCTTACGGTTTTATCACTGAAGGGATGGGATAATGCTGGTGCGAACAGGACAAGCCCCATGCTCCCTGAAGGGCTCCGCTGCCCCAGAAAGGGCTGCTTGCTTAGAGAAAGAGGCTTTCTGATTATCTTCATGCTGAAATGTGACTTCATTTTCAATATAACTGAAACCAACTGTTAGTTACGTATAGAAAAACAGGTGACCAAGTACCTCCTCTGTGTGTCTTACTGCT